CAAAAGAAGTGGTTAGGCTCAGAAGTTTAGTGGTAGCAGGAGTGTTAAGATTAACAGGGATGTTGAAGTCACCAAGAATGATAGTGGGAATTTCAGAAGAGAGAAATTAAGGCAGCCAGGCAGAGAAGTCATCAAGGATTGGTCGATACATAGACAGCAATTCTTAAAGAAACTGGAGAGAACAGACAAATACAGTGAACTTCAAATGAGGAGAGGGACAGAGAAGGAGGTGAATGGAGGACCTGAAAAGTGCTTTTAGGGGAAAGGAGGATTCCTACTCCACCTCCTTTCCGTACACTAGGCCTGGGAGAGTGAGTCCAGAGGAGACCACCATGGGAAAAGGCAACAGGAGAGGGAAAGTCAGATTCATGAAGCCAGGTTTCCGTAATTGCAAGCAAGTTAAAGCAGTTTGTGACAAAAAGGTCATGGACAGAGGCGAGTTTGTTACAGACAGAGTGGGCATTCCAGAGGGCACAGGAAAAGGGGAAGCTGGTTCTAGGAAGAAGAGGAATAGTAACCAGATTGTGTGGATTGCAATTTGTTGGAGGATAGGGGGGGTGCTGGGTGTGTAATGATCAAAGGAAAATGATGGTAGCCCAGGATTTGGGGAAATGTCTCCAGATGTTCAGGAGAAGCAGAAGGGTGAGGGAGGTAATATGGGAGTATGACTTATATGGAGGGACAGGTTCTAGTGTCCTGGAGGTTTTATTAGTGTGTGGGTACAGAATTAGCAGGAGTTGATGAATACAGTAGTAAGGTGAAGAAAGGAGTGAGGGAGGTATATATAAGCTGTAGGGTGGAGAAGAGGAGTGAAGGAGAGAGAGAGGACACAACTGTGAGAAGGAGAAGGAGGAGTAGGGAGTGCATATTACAGAGTGGAGATGAAGCAGGCTGAATAAGAGCTGGATGGGGAAAAGGTCACCTGTAGTCTGAGTAGTATTTTAAGTTGTGTGCTGTGGTTTCTCACTTTGTGCATTTGCTGAAGTGCAATACTTAATCCAAGATCAATACTTTATCCATGATGATAGTTGCCAATGATGCCCCTGGCTATGCCTCCCCTAGGGAAGGCCTAAATTTATACTGAGTTGGGTGGGGGAATTGCCAATTAATCAATTAGGAATGCTTAGCAGAGACACATGGCTAGCAGGGGAAACTTCTCACATACCAGAGGACTACAAGAGACAACAAGAGAGCAGGAGGGCAAATATTAGGATCAGCTCATAAATTTGAATTCGACAATAAGAGCAAAATAAATATCACAGTAATATGGACCAGAGTTAAATATTTTTGAAGCAGTTAGAATGACCAATAAGAACATTGATAGTTATGAATCAACTTCAGTTAGAGGTGGAATTTAAAAGCAGTATAGATTACCATATAGCAGTGCAGGGTGGAATTAGCATTCCTACATGGCATGGGCGATATTACAGATGGATATTGCTCGCAGACAAATACCATATTTTTAAAGCAGTGCAGGGTGAATTAGTCATTCATCAACGTGGCATGGGTGATAATACAGATGGATATTGCTGCAGCAGACAGAAAAGCAAACACACTTTTAATGTTAAAAAACACTTGGATTGTTATTTCTATTACTTCCATCAATGTACACTATCAGACAAGTTAATGCAGTTCAGATCCTTTTTAAAAGTAAAGTTTTTACACATATTTGTCATAGTACACCAACTGCTATCAAGGGATTACTGCAAAGAGGTCGTCTCAAGTGGTGACTCCATAGAGAGAGAGAGCAATAAGGAGCTTGCAGCAACTCTACAAAAGCTTAAAACACACTTTTAATGTTAAAAAAACCTTAGCTCCTTGGATGTTATTTCTATTACTTCCGTCAATGTACATCCCACAACTTCCGTCAATGTACCCTTGAAATGTACACCAACAGTGCTACACTGTTCCTGAGAAAACTCCTACAACTACCATTTTCCTGCAAACTGAGAAGATCGTCTCAAGTGCGCATGTTTGGCCTCCATAGGCAGGTGATATTTGAGATGTTGATTTCAGAAGACAGAAGCAGGGGGAGCTTTGTTGTCATCATGTTCTGGGAGTGGGCATTGGCTTAAGCTTTCATCTAGCATGGCCTTCTGTGCATTGCACAGCAGTGACTGTTAGCAAGACCTGTTGAGCAGTTGGCTGGGAGTTCTATCTGGGCAGGCGTGGATTCATTGAATGGGCAGCTCGTGTAGGTGTTCACCTTCGATGACAATGCTTTTGGACTGGTGACATTCAATAACAAGAAGAGGGAAAAAGCCTTGTTCAAGCATAATGCAGAATGGGATTGTAAGAAAAAGCAGCAATGAAATATTAAAGCATAGTTAACTACTGTGAACAGAGAAAAGGTTTTTCATTTGAAATAATTTTAACGCTTGGTTTATGTACAGCAAACTTTTGTTTTGCACATGTATCAAACACAAAGGCCTGCCAGGTCACTTCATGTGGCCCTTGTTCACCTCTCCTGGGCAGCTAAGAAAAAGCAGCCCCCCCCCCCCCCCCCAGGTTTTTCTGAAAATAATTTTAAGGTTTACTTACAGCCACCTCATGCACAGCAGAGACAAAGGCCTGGGAAATAGTGTTTTCACCAATTTATACCATTGGAGAGCATCATCCCTTTGGAACCGTAAAGCTATAAAGACCATATATAGGTAATGGGACTTTGGATATACCTCCAATGGTTGTACATACAAGAATTTAAAAGGTTTAAAAAAGATCAACATATCTTTATTTGTGCTTTTAAAAACATACAACTGTACATGTAAAATAAGTAATATTACATCTTTTAATACTACCACTTGCTTTGTCATATAATTAGCAGGAGAACTAAAGTTGTGAAGTCCTCAGAGATCACTTAACATAGGTTGATGCGTTTCACAGGAGACCAGCTTCATCAGGACCTTAGATCTCAAATATCCTGTAGATAAAGTAGTCACTACAAACAAATGTTAAAAATACAAAATAGAAATTTAACGAAAATTGTAGTAAATCACCAATTTAATACAGCAATATTCAAAATAACCTAAAACCATTCAAGCATTCAAAAGAGGAAGAGAGGGAGCAAAGGAAGGGGAAAGAGGGGGAGAAAAAAAAAAAAAGACAAAACAAGTTGTAATATTGGCATCTGATTACATATATTACTTAATTTACATGTACACTTTTATGTTTCTAAGTGTACAAATAAAGATAAGTTAATCTTTTAAACATTTTGAATTATTGTATGTGAAACCTTCGGAGGCATATCCAAAGTCCCATTAACCTAAAATGGTTGTTATAGCTTTTACAAAAAGGAAGACAGAACTCCTCTAACAGATCCTGCACTTTTCCCATGTATCTGCAGAGAGGCTTCTCAGCAAGTCTATACAAAGAAGTGTGGGATCTGTAGTTCTGTCTTCCTCTCTGCTGCCATCACAGCACCCCCTCATCTCTGCCTCCCTGGTCTTAGCGTACAGACTCCAGCAGCAGACGCCAGTCCTCCTCCAGACCCGATTCTGATGCTGCCTGCAATGAAATGGAGTTTGATAACCTTGCTGTACTGAGAAAAAAAAAAAGGCTCACCATTGCTGGTCAACTTCCAGAAATGCTAGTGGACTCCCTGCCATGCTGATTCTGTTGATTCAGGTCTTTCATACTTTTTATGTCAGCAACCCTGAACAAGTATTCCACAACTGAAGTCAGATTCAAGTTAGGCTACTGCTCTGCATTTGTTTTCAGTGACTTTGAAGATTCTAGTTACCTGGCATTTTCTTCAAAGGGGAAGGTGATCCAAGACACATCCTCCTTGTACACGTTTACTAGCATATTGCACCTTTGTTGTCTAAATATTTTTGACCACACCGTCAAAAAACTTCCCAAAACATCCCAACTTGCAGTATGGTAGTGGGCATGCACCCCTCTCCCTCACATGTAATGGAGTGGCCTATTGGTGGGCCCAAGAACTGTCATGAAGTGGGAAAGCCTAAAGCTTTGATTTTCATTTGAACGTTTATCAGAAAATTCTTTCTTGCCATCGAGTCCACTGATTTTGTTCAACAGCCCTTAAAATTTCATCTAGACCTACTATTTTAATGGATTCCCATTAAACTGGTTTCATTACAATATGTAGGATTTTTCCAGAGCAACAACCACATTCACAGTCAGAATTTCACTCGTTTAGAAATTTCAAAGCAGCAGAATGAGAAATTTTTCTTCTCACTACAGTTGAAAATAAACATCAAATTTGACCCGACTAACCATTAGCAAATTGAATGAACAAAATATTTCAAACACAAATTCTGCTGGTGTATGGCTTGTTTTAGCCTATGCAAGTTCTAGTAACAAGGAAAGATCTTGGAGAAGAGACTGTCTGGACATCGTCCCGAGCAATATAAAAGATTTAGGACTGCAAAAGGTAGCTTGGTGATGAGGAAATAAAAACACAAAACAACAAAAAACAATGTTGCGAGATCTAGAACATTCAAAATGCTGCTCCTCAATTATAAGGGTATTGATCTACCACCTTTGTACTTCTTGAGGACATTGGGTACCAGGCTGCAGAGGTTTGTCCAAACAAAAATACAATCACACACACCACGGATTGTTTCATACTTTATTTAAAAAATAAATACTGGGGGTGTGCGGTACAATATATTAGACTGACATTACCAGAAAGTAGTCCTTTGGCAAATATGACAGTATACAGCAACAGTGTTATACATCAGAATAACAGAGATCCCTTCCCACTCCCAGATTTACAATTCCCAGTTTCGGTTTCAGCTGGTCTTTTTTAAAAAACATTTTTTAAAGGCACAACTGTAGCATTGCTTGACACACAATGATTGGCACATTTCCTTTTTTAAACATTCATTAAAAGGAGAATCTGATAAAAACACTGGAGTGGACAGAATCCTTCTTATAAACCGTCAATGCTGAAGGTAGAAAAATTCATATTTGGTTCTTTTTTTTGGCACAAGGCATTGTACCCATAGAAGAAAAAAAAAAAAAAAAAAGAGGACAGGTTACTCGATTGTGTTTGGACGAGTCGCCACATAGACAAACACGACGATTAATACCACCACGATGGCCAGCGTGGGAAGCACTACAGTGGTGATTTGCTGACGAGCTTCCTGCATGGCTTGCTTTCTCTCCTTCTTGTCTTTGGAGGACTCTTTCTTGGGTTTTCCCTTTAGCTGCCGCATTGTGGTGACCTCAAGTCACAGCGCTAGTTTGTTCCAAAGACTGTAGATGAAGAATCTCTGATCAGGCAAGTTGGCTGATGGGATGGAGACCTAGGCATAATGGAGAATCAGTTAGTTCATTAAACCAATGTTCAACTTTCATTCTGTAGTAGATGGTATTCTGGAAAGGAATTTTTTTTTTTTTTTTTTACACAATAAAATTGCATTTTTAATCAAATTTTGTATTTTTTCCCCCCATACACACATGCAATAGACTGTATATAATATTGTAAACTACATTCCTGTGATCACATGATCGATTGAAGCTCCTTTCCACCCCGAAAAATACATGTCATCCAAGCACCTTGTATGCCTGGTGCTTCCTGGCTGCTCTGCTCAATAAAAGTATGACTGAAGGCTGCGATCATATATACTTTATAGTAATGTTTATTCTTATTACTTCTTTTTCTTCAATTCAAATGAATGTTACAGTTTAAAAACACATTTATAGAACTGTACATTAGTTAGTTAACCTTAAAGCAGAACTGTATCCACACATGGACCCCTATCTGATGCCATAAAAGTTGCACATTATGGCAAACGTACCCTTTTAGTGTGTCCTCCTCCTCCAGCAAGGTCTGCACTCATGCAAGACTCCATTGTTGCCATTACCAACCTCTCCTGGTGTTCTATCAGATCTGGAGTTTTCTGTATTCTGCCATTTGGTGACCAATGAAGAAGCAACTCTGGTGCCTGTGCACAGGTTACATTGTCCTGGCACATTATAGAATGTGCATTGCACTGAACACACACAAAAGAGAATACAGAGTCTCTATGGCCATAAAACTGGACCTACTACCAATTTTTTCATTGTCCTGGTTAATTTGACCATAATCCCTTCCATTGTGGGGGGTTTGGGCCATTTTTTTTTCCATCATAGTTCAACTTTTTTGTGGTGAAAAACAAACAACACAACCACGCACATACCAGCAGCTGTAAAATACATAGTAAACTATTCTATACCATGCCAACATCTCTGCTCAGCCAGGGAGAGAATACAAGTGGTCAACGGCCAGGGCCTTGGATATGGAGGTACAACCAGTCCTCCTGTACAGGGCCCAGGCAGCTGGGTGAATTGCATATGCGCAGGGAGGGTGATTGGCATGGTGGTGGTGGGGGGAGGTAAGGCAATTACTGGACCCGAACCCCTGTATGGTTCTCTCAGCAGCAGCTGAAAGTTGCCTTCTTCTCCTCTCCCTCCCGCTGGCATTCAGCTGCTGCAAAGAGAGCCATACAGGGGTTCGATTCCAGTAATTGCTTCCCTCTGCCGCACCCATCACCCACTTTGTGCACCATACCTTTCCCCCTTCTGCCCAGGCCCCCCTGTGTGTGTCCCCAACCCTACAGTGATGCCTGCTTTCCTCCTATCTTTCCCACTAACAGCTGCAACAACATAAGATCCTGAAGGATGAAGAGATGAGGGAGGGGTTCCGTAAATATATTCATATTTACTACCCATTCCTTTCCTGAACAAACACAATGAGTGATTTGTGCCAATCACTCACTGTATTCATTCATAACTGATGCATAGCAACTGAAGCATTGGAGGGGTTGGCTTTATGGGGCCCTGTGATTTCTAACAGCAGCCCTGTGAACGGCACACAGTATTTAAAAAAAAAAATTACACACGTTGTGTGTGTGTATAGACATATACATACATACACGCACACAAATGTATATTTTTTTTTTTTCCTGACATGAAATCTCATACTGTACATATCCATGATTGAGGTTTTTTGCCCCCACTGCTGGCAGCCTGTAAAACTCTGAGGTTTAAAGCTGCTGTGGATGAACAGTGCACTGTGTGGTACTAGCGTCTAGGGCAGTATGCACCCAGGAATGAACGTGTGAACACAAGCAGTCTGCATTGCAGACATTCGTCTCTGGGTATATAATGCCCTAAACATTAACTTGGTGCACTTTTCCAGCCACAGCAATTTTCAGCTTCTCAGTTTCACATGCTGCAGGTGGTGGGGCTGGACGGTGCACCTATGTCTTCCGCCCACACCTAAAATGCCGGGATTTCGTGCACCGGGGCTAAAACACGAGTGAGTGCTTGAGTCCTAAGCCAAAAATCTAAGAAAATAGATCCCTGCTAAGTTTTATTAGGTACAACATAAACTAATGGCACATGTATCAAACCTGACCAAACAGGAATGTATTCAACACCAAGAGCTTCCTAACCCCAAAAAATTTATGAAAATCTGAAATGTTTGCAGTTATTTTCACAAACTCGGGGGCTCATTCCCGCCATGAATTGTCGGGTAACGCACTGTATCTGTGTTGCATTTATTAGTTGCACATGTGCAACTGTTCTATGCCTTACGATGCAAAGGAGTTAATAAACAAAAGGAATGAATTAATTTAAATTTTAAAAAAATGGGGGCAGGGCCCATTTTTCACTTGCGACAGCTCATTAAAAATGAACATGCTGCTTAATGTCATGTGCCTCATTGCACAAACAATGCGTTTGGCATATGTTGACATGCATGGGTTTATGGTGGTTTGAATAAGCCCTCATGACCACTTCATATCAATAATAAGCTCTAATTCTTATTCAGTGGAGATCTTACATAGCGGCTTCAAAGGAGCTACCGGGAAACTAGACCGTAATCTGCCTTTAAACCCAAATGGATAGATAACTACACAGTGATATTAAATATTCATCGCTCTAATCCTAGTAAACAAAAGTCTACATAATGTACCTGTGTTGTAAAGGATACCTCAGACTGGAGGCAGACTTAGATCCCATCTAATAAGCAAACAGATAACAGAGATTTGCAGGAGGGATATTACGTTTCATTAATGCATTAAGAAAAAAAAAAGCAGGAAAAAATATCAATTAATATAAATGCCACACTGCCTGCTGGTACAATTCTCCTTTTTCCATATACAGATCATCCTCAGTTCTGCCATTGCATGCGATCCACGTGCCTGTGTGATTCTTTTGCGTTCCCCTGTAGTGCGATTTTGCAGCCCATTCTTTTGAATAAGCTGCAAATCACATTGGAATGTACAAAAAGTAGTGCATACACGACTTTTGAAAAACATGCCACACCAAATTGCATGGTACTGGGGTAACATGCGGTCTGGTACCCCCCAAAACACACTGCGTTTGGGGTGCTATTAACAATATACTAGCACTCGCAGCAGATCGCTAAGGCAGAGCATTTTGAATGTGGTGAGGGAAAAGGAACGTGCCTTTCCAGCACCATGACCTGGTGTGAATAGGCACTAAAAAGCAAGTTGGGAGCATGAAATTGTCCAAAATGTCTTGGTATGCTGATGCCTTAAGAGTTCCCTTCACTGGAACTAAGGGGCCAAGGCCAACCCCTGAAAAGAACCCCTCACCATAATCCCCCCCCTCCACCAAACTTTACACTGGGCACCTAGATTGTAAGCTCCGAGGAGCAGGGCCCTCCTATCCCTCTTGTATTGAACTGTATTGTTGCTGTATTGTCTCCCTTTATATTGTAAAGCGCTGAGCAAACTGTTGGCGCTATATAAATCCTGTATAATAATAATGCAGTCAGGCAGGTACCATTCTCCTGGCAATTGCCAAACCCAGACACATCCATCGGATTGCCAGACAGAGAAGCGCAATTCGTCACTCCAGAGAACATGTCTGGAGTCCAGTGGCGGCATTCTTGACACTACGGCATCCGACACTTTGCATTGCACTTGGTGATATAAGGCATGGATGCAACTGCTCGGCCATAGAAACCCATTCCATGAAACTCTCTACACACTGTTGTGCTAATCTATAGGCCACATGAAGTTTGGAGGTCTTTAACTATTGACTCTTCAGACAGCTGGTGACTTCTGCGCACTGTGCGCTTCAGCTGAGTTGCTGTTGTTCCCAGTTGCTTCCACTTTATTATAATACCACTAACAGTTGACCGTGGAATATTTAGTAGCAAGGAAATGTCACGGATGGACTTATTACACAGGTGGCAACGTATCACGGTACCATGCTTGAAGTCCCTGAGCTCCTGAGAGTGACCCATTATTTCTCAAATGTTTGTAGAAGCAGTCTGCATGCCTAGATGCTTGATTTTACACATCTGTGGCCAAGGAAGTGATTGGAACACCTGAATCCAATGATTTGGAGGGCTGCAATATAGTGTACCTTTCGAGGACATGCCCAGTGACAAAGCCATCTTCGTTATAGAACAGATACAAATGATTTTGTGCGGCTGTCAGAACCACCAATTTGCTCCTAAATACCATTTATCTATCCAGAGCCCATCCAGCAGATCCCACATTACGCACTATGATTTTCTCTTTCACTGATGTTCTCTCTACAAATACATTAACCTTTTCCTGGCGGAACTCTGCAGACACGGAACAGAATGACGAGTGACAGAGATTGGAGGACAGGCCGACACTCTAATCCATAGGAAGTGGCAGCAGAGAGGACAATTAAAAGACACTGGACAAGTTCTTTTTCAGAATGTACCAATGTGCTTATAAACATGCAGCAGTCTGCTCCGATCACTAATCCTACAAAAATGTTCTTTATTCAACGTCTCTTTCCTCCAACCACAGCAACAACTGTATTCTGTCTTCGTACGGGTCTACCCACATAGACTACCCACTTGAGATGGATTTTCATCTTTGGAAAACGGCTGCCGGGGGCTTTAGCCTTTTCTTATTACAACAATGACACGAAAACTGGGGAGTGCAGCTGTGCATGGTAGCCAATCAGCTTCTAACTCCAACTTGTCCTATTCATTTTTGGCAATAAAACCTGGAAGCGGACTGGTTTCTATGCAGAGCTGCACCAGATTTTGCACGCTCCAGTTTAAGTAAATCAATCCCTAATTGTGACCTAAAGAACTAAAGCCACCGATTTAACGTTTTCCTAAAACCATTAATTCCAAGGTATGCCTTGAATAATAACCAGCATAGCCTCATCCACCTCACCAACCGCTCCACCTCTGCCTCTCCCTCCACTGGCT